GCTGCCGCGCGCCGGTGTCCTGCCTGCGGGCCTTGGTGGCAGGCCTCTCCGCCCCCGGCTGTGGGCCTGTTGGGCCCGCCCCAGTCCCCTGGGGCCTGGGCTGCCAGCTTCGGAGCTTGCCCCGGTTTGACGCCCAGAGGGCCTAGTTTTGCCGTCCTTGCTGGCTGGCCAGAGGAACTTTTCTGCTTTTCTCCCTTGCTGTTGGCCTGGGTAAAACCGACGGCTAGCAAGTCAGGGCTATGGCTCTTGGTGGCTAGATCTTCCCTTCCCTGCCTTGCCTGGGGGTCAGAGTGTTCCAGAGTCTGGAAGGCAGGAGGAAGCTGGTGGCGGCCCTGTTGTTCCTTCCGTCATCGCCCCCGCCCCCGCCCCCCCTGCACCTGTGATCACTGAAGCCCAGCACTTCTGACTCAGCTGGCCGCCCCCTGCTCTCTCCCTCATGCCCTGTCCCAACCGGGAGTCTCTTCTGTTTCCAGGCCTCCTGGCCGAGGCGGGTGTGCAGCTGCTGTCCTACCAGACCTCTGTGGTGTCAGACAGGGAGACCTGGCACGTCATGGGCATCTCCTCCTTGCTGCCCAGCCTGGAAGCATGGAAGCAGCACGTGACGGAGGCCTTCCAGTTCCACTTCTAGCCTGGGGGCTCGCGCTCTCGGCCTCTGGGGCTTTTCTGGAGACACCCACCCACTGTGGTCACTGGAAGATGTGCATCCCCGGGCAACCTCAGAGATGTTTGGAAGGATTTCTGAGCGGAAGCAAGTGTGTGTAACGTCATGGGGGCATGGGAATGCGGCCCTGACGCTGCTTGGGCTGCACCCGCTGACCCTGTAACACAGCAATAAATGAACGTCTCTTGAAGCCCCCACCCCGGACTCAGTGCCGTTTTGTGCTGTCATGACCCCAAGGAGTCACCAGAGGGCGGCCGCAGGCAGCTGTGGGCTGGGTCTGGGCTGGGCGGCCGGCCTGGGTGTGGGTGCCCCGAAGAGGGTCCTTCTGTCTCTTCTGAGGTTACTCAGAGGCATTTTTATGGGAACAAAGCTCCGCGAACTTCAGAGTTCCAGGCTACTTCAGATCCTTTCCCTTTAGGAATTTCCATGCCCATCAGAGAGGAGAATTGAGCAAACACGCACGGTGTTGTGTGCCAGGCACTGGGCTCGGTGCTTCCTTTAAAGAGGAGAACTCAGTCTCCTGGTGGGAAAGACAGCGTTCAGAGTCACTGGGAGCCGCGAGCAGTGCTACAGCAGAGGGTACGGGAAGTCCGGAGGAGGAAGCCATGGAAGCTCAGGATGTTTGTGTCTCAGCGGAAATGCTTGGATGGAGGGGTTTCATGGGGGGAAGAAAGTGTGTGCAGAAGTCACAGGGACGTGAGACTACCTGGCAGGCTTACGAAGCAAGGGCGGTGTGGGTGGGCATGTGTTACTCTTTTATTTTTTAAGATGGCTTTCATGAGACATATGGCAGAATGGCACTCGACGCGTCTGCACCATCCCGTCATGCCGGTTTGCCCTGGAGAGCTTTTCCCGCATTAGTGGAGGATGATCCGTTCCTCCTGTGTGCCCAACAGCACCTGTTTCTGAGACCCCGACTCTGGCTAAGAAGACGTGGCACAAGGTAGATGCTTGGCACTGGCAGGGGCAAGCCCACCCCTTGGGCCTCCGTGCGATGGAGCTAAGTGTCTGTAGAAACTCCAGCAGCGAGGGCTGTGACAGCACCTGCAGTGAGCTCGGAGGGTGCGGCCTGCAGTAGCCGACCTTGAAGGGGATGGGCGTGGGCGCGAGCACAAAGGTCAGCGTTGGGCAGCTCTGTGACCTGCAGCACGGTGCTTGGTATCCCCAAGCCTTGGTTTTCTCATCTGTCAGAAGGCTCATGATGCCTCTCAGGGGAGTGATGAGAATCTACTGAATTAAAAAGTGATTCGTAGCCGGGCTCGGTGGCTCAGCCTGTCATGCCGTGCCCTTGCGAGGCTGAGGTGAGTGGATTGCCTGAGCCTGCGGGTTCGAGACCCGCCCGGGCAGCGAGA